TGTGTCTCTCTCTGTCAAATAAATAAATAAAATCTTAAAAAAAAAAAAAAGAACTTCATTTCTCTTCATTTGACACCTCTTGGGCTTATTGAGATGATTACGTTAACAAACACGTAGAAACTTTAACTGTATGGCAGCTTAATAATACCTACATTTGTAACGTGCATCTACCTGTCTTTTAACAACTGCGTGAATGGTTTTACGACCAACCTCAACTTAGCGAGGAACTGAGGTTTGGTTGTCCCAGATTACTTAGCTAATAAGCGGTGGAGTTAGAATCCAACTCTGTTTTCTTTTTCTAAAGTCTATATTCTTGTTATTATCATCATTATTTAATGTAATTCTATCAGCCTATTAAGTTAATTATTATTTTCTCCAGCCCAGGGGGGCCTTTAAGAGAGAACATTTCTGTTGATGTGGGGAGGGTTGGCTCATGGCGGGCCTGGGAAGCAGTGGTAGGAAAATGAGTGAGAAGAAAGGAAGGGAGAGGGCATGAGTGAAGGGCTAAGTTTAGGAATCACGTGAGGCTGGTCGTGGAGGGATTCCTGGGTCGCTTTCTCTGCTGTTTCAGCTCCTCGGGTCTCTGGGCAGTCATCAGACATACCATCAGTGATTTTAATCAACAAACCAATGAACCGATATTTACTTGGGGATTTGGAGGCTGACGCAGAAGACTCCTCATTGGAGGCCCCTTGGCACCAGGGTCATTTTCCATGGCCACACAATCCCAGATCGCCAGCTCCAGAGTTTGGAACTGAGGGAGGTGATGGTCTTTGGAGAGTTTGTGGGCACTTGGTGGTTTTCACCACTGTGTCCTGTCCCTGCAGAGGGGAGAGGGTGGTGTCAATGTTTGGGTGGGACCATCCTCTCTGGTGACTCAGCCTCCCCAGTGGAAGGTATACCAGTCAAGGGGGACTTCACTTCCTTTTGTCAGTGTCCAATCTGGTCTTTAAAAAGGGCAATGACATTCTTTTCTCCAGTGAGCCCTCCTGGCGATTCCAAGTAGTGGGTTCTAGCACTACCCCCGTTTTATAGGTGACGAAAGTTGGGTTTTGAGAGCACCCATGACCCGCCCAACGTCAGATAGCCAGGTTTGGATCTAGGTCTTTGATGTCAGAGCCTACCATGATCTTTCTGCTTTCCTTCGGGCGCCTGAGCTCTTGAATCAAGGACTGGCTAAGATGAACACGAATGACCCAAGCAGTCACGGATTGCTATGGACACAGGACCTCCAATTCAAATTCTGAGACTCTCGCCTCCTGGGGGACAGGTCTCTGCTGAAGATTTGGTTTCCCATTCTCAGTTGCTTCCTCTGGAGGATTGCTTTCCAGCAGGTATTAACACAGTGATCTGCATAACTATTAATAAAACCTTTAATACAGGGTCTATCAAAGCAGACCAAATAATTTAGAAGGTCCCAATTTCCCACCCCCTCGTAGTGGTAGCTATTGTTAGTAGTTCCGTATGTGGCTTCCAGACATTTTAAGCATGGATATGTTGTATCTGTATGTGTGTGTTATATATAAAATGCTTTTAAGCATAAGCAGGTTCCTACTCTGCATATAATACGGCAACCGGCTTTTTCACTGAAGAACGTTTTATGGACACACATTCATGTTAGTACCCACAGTCCTACCTCATCCTTTTTAGTGCATGCATAGTATTACTATTTCATTTTATGGATGAACCAGTTTATTTAACCTATTATCTATTGATGGACACTTAGGTTGATTCCAGCTTTTTTCTACTACAAACAGTGCTTCACTGAGCATCCTCATATAGTTGGATAAATTCATATAAATGAAATTTCTGGCATGCAGGATTTGTGCATTTAAGATTTTGATCGATATTGCCACATTGCTCTCCAAAGAGGTTGTCCCTATTTACAACATCAATCTAAACATTGTTTTTTGCATGTGTTCAGTAAATGCTGTGGAAATTGGTCCTGGCACTTTATTCAATTATTGTTGTGATTCAACTATCCACTCTACTCAGGGGTGATTCCATCACATTCTGGGTGTGTGATTTAAATCCTATCTCTGCCCTACTGGCTGGAGGATTGTGGGAAGTTTGCTTGACTTTTCTGAGCCATGATTTCCTCGTGGAGATAACAATACCTCTCTTGAAGAATAGAGTGAGGGACGTTGTGAATATTTGTCAAGCCTCTTGCCCAGGATCTGACACAGAGTAGGTGCTCAATCAATGCATCCTATCTTTATCCCCCTTTATACAAGGGCGGTCAGCTCCTGCCATCTGGCCCTGAGGAGAGAGGATCGCACAGTTTGCCAAAGGACTCAGAGGGGTCACCAAAGCACTGGTTGTTAAGGTCTCTCTAAATTTGTAGGGGCAGAGTAAAAACTCCTAACTTAGTAGACGGTAAGTCCCTTTAGGGCAATGACTTTGTTTTCTACTTTGTGCTGTTAGAGCGCTGAGCTGGTGTCTGGGACGTGGCAGGTACAGTTGGCTATCCAGGGTGAAAGGTGAGCCAGGGTTTTGACCAGGGACCATGAGTATCAGGAGACCCAGTGGAGGCAGAATGTCCCTTTTAGAATCCACATCCACTAGGAGACATAGCTTACGCTTCTTGCTTTTTCCTATTTAGAGAATTTCAGAAAGAAGCCTCAATGGAAGTTGGGGGAAGCGACAAAACCCCAAACCAGCCTAGGCCCAGAAATCCCCTTTGAGAAACTGCCTCTGGGACTTGCTTGTGAAGTGGGAGGCAGGGTCCGATGCTGTCTGGGAAGCCATATGGGTAATTTATAGGTGGGGTGCAGTGGGGGCTTGTTGACTCTGAGTAGCATCTTAGCCGCTCTGGGTATGGTATCTGGAGCCCCCTGTCTCCCACCGGGCTGGTGCTCTGCAGCCGCTGCCTTACTCTCCCGGGGACTTTCCACCTACTCTTCTGGTCTTTTCTCACTCTATTTTTGGAAAGGGCCTTGTCCTTCTTTCCCCCATCAGTCACCCTCCCCACACCACCTGCCTGCTCCAGAGGCATCTGGTGTCAAGAACTCTATCTGAAAGGCTCTATCCCTGGGTCTAGGTCTGTCAGCCACAGCTCAGCACTGGCCAGGGGCACACATGGGGACAGGGAGGAAGCAGGGCCCTGCCCTGGGGCATGGGAGTAAGTTCAGGACAGGCGCCCGGTGACAAGGAGTTAGAATCTGGGTTTGACCACCAACGTCTCACTGTATCACATCTCTCTGTGCCCCAGACTTCCCTTCTGTTAAATGCAGTTATACCTGCCCTTGGCTCATCATGAGCACGCTCCAAGGACAGCTCAGTTGCCTGATACCAAAGCAAGAGAAATCACAGAGGAAATTCCTCTGTGCGTAATTCAAGAAGGTGGTGTTGCGTTCATGTCTCATGAGCCCTTCGGGAAGGAAATGTGCCAAACTAATAATATTCCACGCAGAAGTTGGAGCCTCCCGCCTGCCTGTACCTAGTTTATTCACGGAGGGCTAAGTCTAAATTCCTTCTCTGCCTTTACTAGCTGTATGATCTTGAACAAGTTACTTAACCTCTCTGGGTCAGAGTTGCTTCATATATAAAATGGACATTAGCACCTCATTAGGTTGTGACAAGATTCGATATTATTATTAACTTTGGCTGCACATGCAAATCCCATTTCAAGACAGATAGGTAATACTTGGCCTTTAGTCAGGTAGGCTGTAGACTATGCCATCTGCTTTAGTATGCTGTTGACTCTATGCAAGCCTCTTCCCTGCTTCCAGTAGGGAAGCTTCAGGAAAGGAAAAGTCTCTTTGGATGGTAGTTGGGTTTTTCCAAACTATATTCCATCTATTCCTGTCCATTGCATTCCATTCTATGGCATCAATACCATTCAATAGGCTTTCATTGAGACACAGTAGACTGAGTCAGGAAATCCGATGACTTTCATTCACTCAGCCTGAATCCTAGAGCCAGAAACGGGGACAGAAAAAGCAAATCAGAATCAAGGCTGTGCTGTAGAGCTTCTGAAGAAAAGAGTAATGACCTCTGAGCTCTGGCTTCTAACTTAGCCCCTGTCTGGGCATGGACCAAAGGCATGGGTCCAGAGTTGAAAGAGAAGCCTGGTCTCCAAGCAACCTGTTCATGTTGGTTTGGCTTTGAGATGAAAGTGAGGAATGGCAGCTGGGCCTTGGACATTTGAGAGAGATGAGGTTAATTGTTCCCTTCTTCAACTTGGCCTGGGTCCTCTTATCCCCACTGCAACTCCCTTACAAAAAAAGATCTAAGCTTATACACATGTTACACACACACTCACACACACACACAGAGGAATCCAGAGAAAAACAAATGAGCAAGTTTGCTACCCGGGTCCTATCTGTAGGTCTGTCGTGATGGAGTGAAGACGCCTGTGGCTTGACTGTTGGTGTTAGCACTATCAAGTGTTGATTGAGTTTTGGTCCCAGTAGTAAGAAGCATTTGTAAAATTCAAATACAGAATTTCAAACCCTTGAGCACTTCCTGAGAGTCTCAATGGCTTTAATAAGGGAAGGGCATCTCTTTGATGGCAAATGATTATCCTTCACAGTGCAAGCACAAATTGGATCATAATTAATGATTTTGATATATGTTCTTCCTTGTTGTGGATGGGAGCTGGAGTTCAGTTTCTATTTATCTACATCTCCATAACTTTATATTCCCCTCTCCAAGGAGGGGGGAGGATGTTGCCACATGCAAATGAGAGGTTATGTCTTTGTAAGTACTTCCGTAGCTTAGCGACCAGTTTGGAGCAGCTCCTCTCTCTCTGTCTCCTTCTCTTCCTTCCTTCCTTCCTCCCTCCCCACTTCTAAGTACCATTTTGCAAATTCTGAACTGTACGCTGGCTTCCTAGAGCTGCTTCAATTGCTCTAAATGCCAGAGGTCCTCATACAGGGTGGAGAGAAGGAACACATTGCTTGTGTTGGTCCAAATGTGCTTTAACCATTCTTTACTCTTGATCTCTCCTTTCTTGTCTTTCTTGTCTCCTTCTTTCCTTATGGGGCTGTCCACTGCAGTGGTGGTCGTTGAGCTGATGCTGAAAGCCATCGCTGTGAATGTACACTGGATCTTCCCAGCGCTGAAGGAGCCAGAAGCGCCACCGGATGCCTTGACTTCCGTCCCTCCTTCCTTCAGCAAACATATGCTGATTGGGTGTTCACCGAGGCCAGGCATACCCTCAACACCAGGAATACGGAGACCAGTAAGATACAGTTCTGGCCCTTTGGGAGTTTCTGCACTTGGCCTCACTTATTCTTTATCCTTAACGCATCCTTGGCTGGCGTGGACAGCCTTCTCTTCTCTCCACCTCACGCTGACTTTGAGGCGTCCCAAATGATTTGCTCATTTCATGGGCACACGTGCCCCTACCCTGCCTTCTTTGGCTAGAGCCAAAGCCGTGAATCTGTGCCAGGGAGAGTAGATTTCTTTCTAGGCAGATTGCTATGGATTGAATGTTTATATCCCCTCAAAATTCCTATGTTGAAATCCTAATCACCAAGATGATGGTATTAGGATGTGATTGGGACATGAGAGCAGAGCCCTCATCATGGGGATTAGCGCCCTTGTAAAAGGGACCCTTTCCACCCTGTAAGGACACAGAGAGAAGTAGGGGTCTGTCCATGAACCAAGAAGCAAGCCCTTACCATACACTGAGTCTGCCAGCACCTTGATTTTGGACTTTCCAGACTCCGAAATTGTGAGAAATGTTTCTGTTGTTCAAAACTACCCAGTGTACAGTGCTCTGTTATAGCAGCCTGAAAGGACCAAGCCACAAATGTAAAGAGAAGATAAAGGACAGATACCGTTTCTGAAGGGAGCAAGTCAACAGTGCCTGCATCTGAGGGTTGATTTCAGGGGGCCCAGGAGAGGCAGGGCTACCACACCGCTCCACTCCAGGAACACAATTCATGTCGTTGTCTGCGTGGAGGGCAGCCTCGGTTTAGGAAGAGCATGCATGGGCGGATTTTCTGCAAAGCCAGCCCCCACTCAGCTATTCAGGCAGGCATGGAGTCGGCCTCAGAGGGGTGGGGCGTTCCCTGGGAAAACTGGCCAGAGTAAGGCTTCTAACTCAGATCACTGACTAGGTAGCGGTTATGAAGGTCCACTCAGTGACTGGGGGCTTGGGCTTTAGCAGCCTGGCGCCTGTGTCTGCAGGGAGGCCAAGCCTGCAGGAGGAGGTCAAGGGCTTTCTTGGTGGGACCTGGAGCCAGACATCTCATTATAATGGATCACTGTGCCAGGAAATTGTGAGGCACTTCTAGATCTCAGCCTAGTGCCCTTTCGAAAGAGGCAAGGCCGAGGAGGTGGCCAGTGTGTGGTTAGTTGGGCCAGGGGATTTAATGGGGCCTTGATTCAGGCTGCTCCAATTTCTCCATCAGAGCAGTCCTCTGTTGCCCATTTCCTAGGATTCCCAAAGGACCCACTCTCGGTCGTCTCCTGGCCACTGGGGAGGGGAGGTCCCTCTGCTACCCGTCTCTCCGGGAGGCCGGGATTGGCTGGTCCCAGCCCAGTCCCCGCGCTCTCCTCTGCACGCTCTGTTCTCCCCGCGTGGGGCGTGTGACAGGTTGGGGAGGAAGGCTCTGGCGGGGGCGGGATGGCGGGGCGCGGGGCCTGTCTAGTGGTTGTGACAGGCCGGCCACCTGCCCGCCCGCAGGGCTGCTGCTGATTGGGGAGGCGCGGAGGGTGGTGGCGGGGCTGCGGCTCGGGGGGCTTGGGCTCTGGGGGCCACCACGCGCACCGCAGCCATGGGGAGGGCCTGTCACCCGCCTGCGACAGCGGGGCCCCGCCGCGGGCTTCGTGGTGGCACTTCCTCTTTTAATTTTTTCCCCCCAGGAAAGGAAGGGCGGAAGAAAGCAGGCTGTAATTGGGCTTTGGAAGGTTCTCGCTTGTCAGAGGAGGTGTAAGGCTTGAGAAACAGCCATTAGCATAAGTGTGTTTCACAGGGGGAGGAAGGGGGCTGCGGTGCTTCCCCAGGCCCCGCCCCCGGCACGGAGTGTGTGGGTGCAGCCCCAGGCCCAGGCAGCTGCCTCCTCAGGCGTGGTGGGGCCACTCAGGCCCCCGCGGATGCTCCCCTGCCCAGGTGGAAGATTCTAGAAGAAAGCAGGAGGGATGAGAGGAGACAGTGTGCACTGAAGCTGGGTTAGACGCATCTTCCTCACTCCCCTTCCCCCCCCCACACTCACTCAAGACTTTCAGGGCCCAAGGGGACTCTGGCTCATCTATCATAGCTTTCTCCTGGGCAACTGGGTGGGAGAAGGGGGGGAAGCGGGGGAAGGGGAGGACTTGCCAAGGGTCACACCTGTAGTTAGAGGCAGGGCTAACTGCACCTCAAATCTTAATCTTGGGCTTAGAATGATGGTGGGGATTCTGAGAGTGCCTTTTTACTCTCTTTCCCAGACAATGCCATTTCAGCCCATGGATGTCACTAAAATCACATACTTAGGGATTTATTCATTTGGATTCAAGCTAAGCTCACAATTATACAGCAAATTCTCTTGGTAGAGCTAATACATTAAGCTCTGTCAGTAATTTCTACCTTAGTAAAAATGATAAGGGAGATAAGGTACTGGCCACCTGGGGGCTAGTGTGTGTGTGCATCTGGGGGCTGTTTGGAGGAGGGAGAGACTGACAAGAGGGAACATGAGTCTGGGGACGCATCACCTGGGGGCCAGGAGAGCTGGAGGGGGAGTCTGAGGCCCCTTCAACTAATTGCACCTACTTCAGAATTTGACTCCATCCAGGCTTCCACTTCTGCGCTGGCCCCCTCCCACTCTGTGGGCAGGTCAGGAGTCCCCCATGGCCACGTCCCTCGTGCAGCTGCCGTTCTCCTGGAGTCCGTGTGACAGAATGGGACCTGTGGGGAAGACAGCCACGTCAGCACCCAGCCCCGTTTTGCACTCCGGCAGCTAATTAAAGCCAGGAAGGTAATTTATTGCTGAGGGAGAATGTGCGGGAGGTTTGGCTTAGTTGAAATGGCCCCCAAAGAGTTATGGAAAGCTAAAGTGGGTTTTCAGAAGCAAAAGTTAATTGCTCTTCACTTAGCATTTCGGTGTCATGTGGCTCTGAGTTACACACTTGCTGAGTGGAAGCCTTTACCCAGAGGTGGGGACCGAGGGGAACGTGCTGGAGCCAGGGATTCCAGGGGCATCAGAAATGCCACCCCTCTCCCCACAAGGGATGTGGCTTTGCCTGCTCCAGGAGCCAGCCCCAGGTGAGGGCGGGACTAGAAGGCATTTATCTCCATGGAAGAGGGTTCCTGCGTGGGAGAAAGAACATTGCTCTGGAAACAGGAGCCTCGGAGTGGGGACCTCCAGCTCTGTCCTGACTGCTCTGTGGCTTGGCTGAGTTCTTTCCCGTCTCTGGATCTCACTGTTCCCCTCTGTTTAATGATCACTAAGGCACATCTTCACTCTTGGTGTCTGATCATTTCCTTGATGCTATGGGTTCTTGTCCTTGGGTCTCCTCATGGATGCTATTCATGCTGTGTGACCCATTTGGAAGAGGGAAGACTGAGGTATAGGATATCCCAACAGAAGGTACTGGAGGATGTGGGAATAACTTGACTTTCAGCTGAAAACTGAGAGATCTGCCACCTAGAAATAGGAGATTCTAGGGCACTAAAGTGTTTCTTAGATTTATGGATAATGGCATTTGGGAAGGGGGGTTAAAAGGCATGGATTTGGGGCACTGCAGGAAGAAGGGGTGAAAGATTCTTTCAGCGAGAAAGGGGCCAAACAGAAATGGTACAAAGCTGCTTTGCATAGAGACTTATCTGTATTTAAATGTAGTAATTATCCTGACTACAGATATGCCTAGTATTAGGTACTAAATATTTAAAATGATTTCTACTGTTTATGTTTAAGGAGCTGACTTGAGGGGCTCCCACGTGACCTTCCTAGCTGCATTCAGCAGGGGAAGGGCACTGCGCAATGGTGGCGGGGTGGGGGTGCTGCACTTAAGTGTTCAGTCCGAGGTGGTTTATGGCGAGTAATGAATTCTAGAGATAGAGGGGCCATAGCTCAGGTGGGTGTTGCATTCTCAAGCCGGTGGGCATGGTGAGTCCAGTAAAGTCAGAATTATTTCTGAAAGTCCTTCTATTGTGGGGATCCTGAAAACTCAAAAGTGAAGAACACTTCTCCTTCTTCTTCTTTCTTCTCCTTCTCCTCCTCCCCTCTTCCTTCTTCCTCTTCCTCCTCCTCCTTCTTCTCTTCCCCTCTTCCTCCTCCTTCATCTCTTCCTCCTCCTTCTTCTCTCCCCCTCCTCCTTTTCCTCTTCCTTCTCCTTCCTATTGGTCATCCTAGGTAGAGGGTCTAGTTTGAATGGAGATGGTGAGTGTGATAGAGTATATATCCTGCTGACACTGTATGTACCGAACATGTGTAGTTCGCTGCTCATTCTGTTGTCCCAATAAAGCCAGGCAGGAAAGTCTTAGACCAAAGTGTCTACACTTTAATACGAGCTCATTGAGACTTTTTTTTGAATAAATGAGTGAATAAAAGTTCTTTAAAAATTCTTGTAGTCGTGCTATCACTCTGTATCATGGATAATGGAATTATATAGTTACATGCTTTGTGGATGTGGTTGAATGGTGGTACCTGTGGTTCAAGAACTATACTGAAAATAATTAAAGCTCCCTGGAGACAAGATGTGACAACCCAACAGGAATGCTTTAGCATCTCACGCATATAATATTAGGTCTCAGGAAAAATCACAGCCATGTTTATCTGAGAATGTTGGAAATGAGATCGGATTCCCTTTGCACAAGCCATCTACACGGCAATTTGTAGTGAATCTAAACATTATTGACCATTCTTTTTGAAAGCTTCCTTCTCTTATTAAAAAATGTTTCTGACTCCAGGACTGTTTGACCCAACAGTCCCCATTTACCTCAAGGATGGGCCGGACAGCTCAGAATGAGGCCCGAATCCCAGCGAAGCTCAGAATGGCCTGAACATCAGCCAAGGATGGTACTTAGGTCATGTTCTAATCTGCAAACCCACATTCCCTGGGAGTGCGTTGCTTAGCCAAGGGCTAAAGTACCACTCTGGCAGAGGCCTGAATAAATGGAGATGAAGTGGCCTTGGATTTTGTTGACATGTTTTTAGACCAGAGACGGCATTTAGGACAGTGCCAAGTGCTAAGGAAACACAATGCATCACCCATTCACATATCATGCTGAATTATTGTGAGTGTGAGCAGCAT